CGATGAGCTTTGTAAAAATCGACGCGTTTCAAAAAGGCGGCGCATAGAGGAGAAACAACAATGTACAGTATGTGGAAAATAATGTGTTTTTCGAACCTTAAACCGCATGAACACATTTCATTACACCAAATACACAAAATAATGTTCTTTTTAGCAACATCATATTTAAGAATAATTCAATTAATTTTCACTCAAATTCACAGTGAAAACATTACAGAGAGAAAAGACAATGAACAGTGCAGTTTTTTTCTTCTTTTTTTTCTGTTTGGTTAAGATTAGTTGTTGTAAGCGCATGATATTATGGTAGTCTATGGAAGCATTATATATGATTGTTATAAAAGTATCAACATCATTGCTGGGTAAGTTACTCTAATTAGTAAAAAGTACTAGCTACTAATTACATTTTCAACAATGTATAATTAGATTATTTAACTAATTATTTAAACTATAATGAACTAATTATTTAAACTATAATGAACAATGTAGTGAACATAAGCATTTTTAAAATCTTTATTAATTTTTAATATATTAATTTGATTGATTGAAGATGACTGCTACAATACAAAACATACATCAGACATTATAAATTAAGTTAAGGTTTTATCTGTCTCTGAAACGGTTTTAAATCAGATCAGAGAAGTCCAAGCAGTTTGAGCTGGTTTTGAGAAACTGCTGTAGCTTTCCAAATGTGTCGGCTACCATGTGCATCAATTACAGCAGTGCAAAATGTACTGGTCAATTACAAGTACAACACATTGTTCCTAAGCATATTTATAGAACCACAGCCACAGGAAGCATGCTTTGCACTGGATTGCCATTTCGCTCTGTAGTGACATCTGTATTGATCTGCACTGATCAATAACCTGTGCAACTATGCCTCTTTCCAACCAAAAGATTTACACACTGATTTACAAGGCGTAGCTTTTGAAAAGGTACTTCATATTCTTTCATGAGAAGGCCAAAGGCATTACAGACAAGATCAGGTCATTGTGGACTCAGGAACTCATTCTCCGGACAGAGATCGAAAGATGTGTGAGCTCTTTTATTCTTCACAACTCGTAAGGCTGGGAAGCGGTTCACCAGCAGCTCACAAACCGCGAAATGCTTCTGTTCAGCAGCCTGTGTGCACATACAATCACAAACACACTCAGAAACTAGCTTCAAATAGTCTGCTACTTAAAACCAACATAACAAGCTCTACATAAAAACAACACTTTTATTAAGAATGCATCAGGCTGACTAGCTGTACCTTATGAAGTGCTGTAGATCCATCATCATCAGTCAGACATGGATCAGCCCCACGGTCTAACAGTAACTTGAGCACACTGTGGTGTCCGCAGTAAGCCGCCCTATGAAGCGGGGTTGCCCCACCACGGGTCTGGACGTTCACACAAGCGCCACAGTCCAAGAGTAACTCACACACTGACAGCTGACCTGCTCGACTAGCATAATGCTACTCCAAAAAAAAAAAGTAGTACCTGTGAATGGGTTATGCATTATGAAATGATCGTAATTAATGTTTGCATTAATGGTGAATTGATGAACAAACCAAAGCAGTGTAGTTTGCCTGGTCCCTCATATTTGGATCAATCCCTTTTTTGATAAATGCCCTGACTCTCTCCACATCTCCATCCATTGCAGCTGACCATACACCTACAAACAAGCAATTCACATCTTTCTGATATACCAGTATGGGGTGATATGATGATATATATGAACATGCAAGCAGTAACGTACCTCTCTCAAAGTCCATCTCCTCTAGAGTCTGATAGACGCTTGCTGTTGAGCGGTGGGCACTACAGGTGCATTGATTTCCATGGGAACCCATCCTACCTTTATTTGGTATGAACTGTATTAAGTATCACAGATACGTCCAACATACTTCATATGTGTTAGTGACAATGCGTTCAGCTGTTATTCACATTTAGCTGCCTGATAAAGTAGCAAGCAAATATGCCAGGTTATAATAAGACGAACATTTGACACGTTTGCGTTTTGTTTAAGGAGTTCAAATTCTGATGAACGAACATCTGTTTCTGTGTGTATAAAACTGTCATTACCTGCACATGGGTTGGGAAAGAGCGGCTGTGAAGACAAGCAACTTCTGCGCACAACAAACGGACGGCCTTTCAAAATAAAAGTCACGCGTAGGTGACAAACCTTCGGATTTTGGTTGCTCTGGTCCTGGTTTTTATTTTTATTTTTTGGTCCAGTTTTAGTAAAAAAACAAAAACAAAAAAAAAAGTTTTGTGAGCACATATGGGTGGCCGTTTAGGTGCCCATATTATTTTGACAGACAGAAATAGAGAGAGGCAGACAGACAGAAAACCTGAATAAAATGTTTCCTGTTCACTCTAAAATAATACTAACCCTAACAAGATTTCAAGGGGATATTATGTGATGAATATCTTAAGCTCTGTAGCATCTATGGCATGCCGTTGATTAACTTACCACAGAAAATTTAGTTCCTCACGTGAAGTTACAGTAGCCTATGTGTAACTTCTGCTTTCTCCAGTATATGTGTGTGCACTGAAAAAAATGTTTCATTCATCCAATTTTAAAAAATTTAGGGTAATGATTCACATCTATATTTTTTTTACTTGAGCCAAAGAAAAATAAATAACTTGCCCTTAGGGATGAATGAAACTTTTTTTTTCAGTGTGTGTGTGTGTGTGTGTGTGTATGATATGATACATATCCAAAAGAATAAATAAAGACAGACAGGAGTTTGATTATAACAGTCTATTTATGGAAGCACACTTCCGTAATAGAGTGCAACAAAGTTTGGTAAAGAGAGAATAGGTAGATCACCCCCTTCACCACTGGTTAATTATTGTGCATATTAACCTATGGCTAAGTGTTATTACACAGTTATTAAAGAATTAATAGGCGTTGCAAAAATGCAGTAAAACGTGGTTTGCATTTGGTTGAAATCTTTGCATGACTGCATGGTTTCAAAAACTAAAACTGACTTAAAACTAGAACGGGTTGTAAGGGAGGTAGATCAAACGACAAATCAGAAATCAAAACAAACAATTAATTTGGTTTACATGTAAATGTGAAAACAGAATATGTAAGAGCTATATGCTTATGTTGCATATTTGAAACCAGACCAGTCAGTTATATGAGATGTTTAAGGTATTTTCCATATTTTATATATAAAAAGCTACTATTTATGAGTTTGTTTTACCTGTAGTAAGCTGTGCAACAATAAGCCTTATCATAAACCGCCTACAATTGATTGATAAATCTAAAATACTACAGATATATTTGGTTGAAATATTTGATTGACTGAAATGTCGACTTCATTATTTGAGACAAACACAACATGAAATGTATACATTTGGTAAAATCGAACAAAAGTTCAACTCAAAGCATAAATAAAACCAAAAGCAACAAGTTTGGTTTGACAAACGGCATTTTCCAATATTTGGATTCTCTACACTAAGCTTTCGCTATTTTTGGCCATGACTACAGACCCTGGATGTGCATTAGTGCATGAGAGTAAAGCTCAAAGAGAAGGGGTGGGCAAACCAAGTGCTAGTATTGCATACGGTTTCACAGGAGCGTGAAACGAAAAGGGGGGGTCGGGGTAAGGGAGAGCTGTGAATAGCTGGCTGGTGAGTGGTGAGGTTGCCGGGCAGGGAGAGATGTAATTGGTTATCTCACACTTTGGGACATGTGCAGTGGAGTCAGCATCTCCTCAAAGATGGCTCCTTTCACATTTGAACCACGCAGGTTGGCTTCCTGTAGATCGCAGCCTGAGAGATCGCAGTTCTGCACATACATGAAAGAAAACATTTGTCATTTTTTTCAGGGTTATAACATCAGGAATGTGGCTAGATGCCACAAAATCAACACGGTTGTCTCACTTCAAGATCTGTGCCGGCTAATGTAGCACCACGCAGGTTACAGTTCTTCAGCTTAGCGTTCTTCAGCGTCGCCACACGCAGATTTATACCAGTCATCTGACTGCCCTCCATGTCAACTCCTTTCAGATTAGCCCCTAAAGCGCACAGAGAATACACTAATTAACCAACTGCAAAACAAAAAACATTATAATGCAACATTAATGTGGCATCATTTTCATTAGCAATGACTAGCGTTGTCACAATACCAAAATGTCAGTAGTTAGCACAAATACCAGTAAAAATCCACAGCTCTCTATTACAATTTCGATACCATAGAAAAAAAAATTTGAACTATTTTAATATTTTTTAATTTAACTATTTGGAAATAAAAAAACTAAAAAAATAAAAAACTGTTAATTATATAAATATAAGTAAATAATATGTTACATTAGCATGTAGCCTTCAAATATTGTTCAATTATGTAGACATTGCATTAGAAAGATCAAATTAAAGTAATAAAACAACAAAGAAAGTGGCAGGCACTTGCACTGCAAGATTTAATGCACGGATCTATTTTGACACATCAGATTTTTTCCCACTGCTATAGTCACTGCTATGTCAAACATCATAATTTCACATTCAGTCCTGCATTTTTAAATGGCCAACAATCCTGAAGTTTTACAGCGTGTGCTTAACAGCATGAAAAATACAACTTTTATTCAAATTATGATTGGGTTATGATTATTTATTATTCAAATTATGATTCTTGTTTTGCTCGCTGCGACTCTCTGATTGGTGAACTCTTCTTTACAAAATCATGATCGTGTAGCTTTTGATGTAGTTCATGATGATTGAAAACATAAGTTAAAATAATGTGAACTGATGGCTTCAACAAAAGCATGTACCATCGATTAACAACCTCGGAGCTCCCAGTAGGTCTGTCGTTAATGGTTTATCCAATTTAATTAAAAATAAATTTCTCTACGGAGAAAATGAATGGTGTTTTTTCTTCCTGAGCCCGACTGTTACACTCTATCGTGAAACAATTTGCAGGCATGCAGAGCTCTCACTGAAAATATCTGGTGTATTGAGTGGATTCTGACTTAAAAGCCTCTGATTGGCCATTGCGTTCACTCGCTCAACAAACATGTCTGTGATTGGCTACATTACTCAAGTCTAAGGGATGAAGTTGGCATTAGGGGCACGGCACTGGATTGGTTTTCATCATACCTCTCCGATAGATCAGTTAAGGTGATGATTGGAAACTCTTCCTCTCCTTCTGCACCGCTTATCTGTGGGGTACCTCAGGGGTCCCTCTTAGGGCCTATTTTATATTGTTTGTATATGCTCCCCTTGGGTTCGATCATGAGGAAATATAATATTTTATACCATTGTTATGCTGACGATACTCAGATCTATATTCCTCTTAGCTCTGATCACTCTTATTCTGACCTTTTTAATTGCTTTGAAGATATTAAAGGCTGGACTGGCAGAAACTTTCTCCAACTAAATGAGAGCAAAACTGAGATTGTTGTCTTTGGACCCCCAGGTGCTGTCTCTGATATCACTAATAATTTAAATTCTTGGTCATCAAATATTCATCCTTTTGCTAAAAACTTAGGTGTGATTTTTGACACTGATCTGAACTTTGAAAAACAGATAAGTGCTGTGGTGAAGAGCAGCTTCTTTCAACTAAGGCAAATAGCCAAATTAAAATCTATGCTCTCGTTTAAGGATTTGGAGATAGTTACTCACGCCTTCATCACTTCCAGACTTGATTATTGCAATGCGCTTTATATGGGTTTCAATCAGTCATCGCTGAATCATTTGCAGTTGGTCCAGAACGCAGCCGCGAGGCTGCTGACGGGCACTAAGAGGAGAGAAAGCATTTCTCCAGTCTTAGCATCTCTTCATTGGTTACCGGTGCAGCATAGGATCCATTTTAAGACTTTATTATTTGTGTATAAAGCAATAAATGGTATAAATGGTCTAGCCCCATCATACTTGTCTGAACTTCTCAGCTATCAGCAATCCTCGCGCTCTCTCAGATCCTCGGATAAACTTTTCTTGCTTATACCTCGATCTCGCTTGAAATCGAAGGGAGATCGGGCTTTTTCTGTCGCGGTCCTAGACTATGGAACAGCATGCCTCTGGACATTAGATCTGCGCCTTCCCTTCCTGTTTTTAAATCCCGCCTGAAGACTTATCTGTACTCCTTGGCTTTTGGATAAAATGTATGTATATTTTAATGTGTTTTTGTGTCTTTTCTATTTTTCTCTTAATCTGTATATTTACTTTATTTGTATATGTACAGCACTTTGGTATACACTAGCTGTTTTTAAATGTGCTATAGAAATAAACTGACCTTGACCTCAAAGTTGTAAAAACTTGTTGTAAATAGAAACTGTTGATGCTCTTCACAGACAGCTTAGCTGCTACCAGATCAACGCTGTACTTGGTACTACCAGTATTGCGGGAAGGCTGGTATTGTGAAGTTTTAAAAATGTAAGTATCGACATGGTACTTTTGACAATGCTAGCAATGACTAATGTATGTCATTTTATTTCTGAAGCTAAACAATGGCTTCTGTGTGCAGTTTTACCCTCTAGATTGGCCTTTAGCCCAGAGGGATCCTCAAAGTTACATCCTTTCAGTGACGCTCCCTCTGCATTAGAGCAGAGCATCTTCACGCCCTGAAGATTAGCACCCTGGAGAACAAGCAAGGCTTTATATCAGTTCAAAAGTATTAAAACCAGAAGAAGAGATTAAAAAAAGTTTTGATCAGCTCACATCCAGGTTGGCTCCAGATAAGTCCGCTCTCTCCAGGTTTGAGCAGCACAGGTTTGCATAGGTGAGATTGCAGCGACTCAGATTTGCCATCTTAAAATTGATATAGCGCAAATCCAGCCGCGAAAGGTCTGCTCCACTGAAATTAAGACCCTGATAGGGAAAGAGGAAAAAAGACACCTTAATGCCAACATCAAACTGACTAAAACACACGTCTGAAGAATTACAAATGTCTTCTACTTGACAGCGTAGCTCTGATTTGGTTGGCGTAGCCAGCAGAAACCGAACAAATTCTTTCCGTGAGAGTGGAGAGTGGTCTTCAGGTGGATGAGAATTCTGCATGTCATGGAAAACAAAGTAAAAAATAAAATGAATAAATATATGCATATACAGAACCTTTCAAAAGCTTGGGGTCATTAAGATGTTTTATTGTTGAAATAAATTATTAGTTTTTACTCAGCAAGGACACATTAAATTCATCAAATGGGAAAGTAAAGACACAATGCTTCTTTTGAACTTTCTATTCATCAAAGAATCCTGAAAAAAAAAACGTAGCACAGTTTCAACAAAAATATTAAGCAGCACAACTGTTTTCAACATTGACAATCATAAGAAATCTTTTTTGAGCAGCAAATCAGCATATTAGAATGATTTCTGAAGGATCATGTGATACTAGCCGGGTTTCCATCCAAAGTTGCGAATTTAACTTATGCGCAAAATTGGAATAGCCTATCGCATAAAACATTTGCGAATAAGCAGAGTTTCCATCCAACGAATAAAAGAGAACAAAATCGTCACTTCCTGATAAACTGGCACTAAATATCACTAAGAAAAGTAGAAGCCACTGAATATAATCATTTATTATTTGCACCTCAGAGCGAGCAGACGAAACACAATAAAAGCGGTCATTGCTTTCAGAGGTGGATGCTGCTGTTTGGGAGCGCAGTCGTGAAAGACCGTTCTGGGAGGCAATTATACAGAAATACTTTAACGACAGACTTTGCTCGGGTTTTTAAGAATGACCAAAACAACATTTCACATGCTGTGCAACAAGATGAGTCCACTGGTTAGTCAGGACTTTTTTGATGCGCATGGAGGAATTTATTCGCAAAACGCATTTCCATCTCCCATTATTCCCGTTAACCCTTTTTCGCACAAGTCAAAAAAAACACCTCAAGCAAGCATAAAAACTTTTTTGCGAATTAAGGGATTTTATTTATTTTTTTCGAAATTTGGCATATCCATTAGGCTACTCGTTTCTGATGCGTTACTTCAAAATGCGCATAAAACAGGGTAATGGAAACATACTGTAGCTAGTGAAGACTGGAATATTGATGCTGAAAATTCAGCTTTGCGATCGCAAAAAATATGTTAAATATATTAGAATAGAAAACAGTTATTTTGAATGGTAATTATATTTCACAATATTACTGTTTTTTTACTGTATTTTTGATCAAAACATTGCAGCCTTGGTGAGCATATCTTAAAAATCTGACTGACACCAAACTTTTATTTACATTTTACATAACAAGAAACACTTTATTTATAAACACTTTAACACTTCTGTTCTATTACCTTAATGGCCACTTCTAGCTGTTCAGCCATTTGCTCTATTCCAAAGAATCGAGCTTCTTCCAGTACTCCTATAAAACGTAAAAAAAAAACATTTCAATAACTATAGAGTGAAACTGATTTGGAACATGGACACTTTCATACGTTTTTTAAATATTATATATATATAAATAAAGGTGCCTTTTATCATATTACTATTGCTGTCATATAAAAAAGTGCCCTGAACTGCAGTGATTTACCAAGTTTAAACTTACTGCATCAATCTACACCCCAGGCTCAAATGTACAGCATATCTAACATACTAACTTTAATATCTAATGTATATCTAATAAACTAGATGGGAGCTATCATCCGAGAATGCCTTCAGTAACATTCAGATGTCACTCACCGAGTAAGTTTATTCCTTCATTGACAATGATCTGGCCGTGCCTCAGGTAATTCAGGATGGGCTCAAAGTACTCTGGGCTGCGATCAATGAGGTAAGCCCCTCGTTCATCCTGCTTATTACCCCATACATCTGCAGATCAAGAAAAAACTGTGCTACACACTGATTCACAACCTGCTGAACTAGCACAACAAACAATGCCTAAATCAGTCAGTGAGTGAACATGACCTATATCTTACCCTTCTCTCTAAACATGTGTGCCAGCATGCTGTCAGGCTCCTTACTCACAAGAGTACTCCTTAAACAAGAGGAAACAACGAGACCAGACTTCATTAATGACATCTCAAGGACACACCCCTAAGCATCTGCAGACTAGTGTTATTTTAGTATTATTTAGTATTCATATTTTGAATGAGCTTTTATTTTTTTATTTAGTATTTTAATTTTTTATTTCAATTTAGTTTAGTACTTAAACTTATTAATTTGTTTATTTGTTGTGTTTAAGTCTGAATCATCTAATATTTATATTTTATTTTATTTCAATTAAAAAGTTTTACTTTTAGCTAACAACAATTGCTGCAGACAACAAGACTGTACTTTATGTATTTTAAAGATATAGGGTTTGCACTTTAACATTTTTTTGGATGAGCCATATTCATATTTATCTGCCGTAAAAAAGGTGACATATGCACATCTGTGACTGCATATGTTATTAATGTTAGAATTCTATATTATTATGCTCAATCTATATTATTGTGCCAAACTTATATATATATATTTTTTTTTTTTATTGGTATATTGTTGTCGCCGATTTTGCAAATTTGACTATGCTTACAACAGTTTCTTTCTTGCCTAAAAACACCTTAACCATTTTCAAATCACATACTTTCATGCCTTTTGCTTTATTTCCTTTCTCTTATAATTTAATTTACAAACATATCTATTAAGAATAGTTATAATAAAAGATTAGAACTTGATACTTGGATTTTAAGCCAATAAGACAGCAAACCCATGGTGCATGTTTACCTAGTGGTTGTAAAAAGCCGCCCACCAATATTCAGCGTCAACCAATCGGTGTGCGATCCTGAGATGTCATCTGACGTTTTCCCATCACTCTGAGGGTCTAAAACACAAACACATTCATCGCTTTACACACTGACCTATAAGCACACTTCCGATTTCACTGAACAATGAAAATCTATTTTTATGCTTTTAAGAAAAGCGACTTTGTTATCTGTTTGTGTTCCCTGGAAATCTCATGACCCTGGCATTTCAAGTGGCATAAAGCAGAAAACAAAATGATGTTAACTCACCGATGAAAGCGTCCCCTTCTGACACGTACAGCACATCATCGTCTCTGTGGAATATATACAACAATAACCAGTCAGTTCATCCGGCATATTACCTCTCATTTGCTTATCCCACTCAAGAATCGAGTACAAGGCTCACTGTAAACATTCAACTCAAAGCAGGTCAAACTGAGAAAAGCAATGTATTTTTCAATAACGTTCCCAACATTGTCTTTCCTAAATGACCAATTAATAGTTGAAAAATGCCAATAAAACGCACCTGATGAGGGTAATGTCATCTATGAGACCACCTTTCCCATTATATAGGTTACAAGCCCTGATTCCCAATTTATTGCTGGCGACTGTCAAAAGATCAGACAGAGTCCCATAAACAGCTACAACCTGCAAAAGAAACAAACGCATGATGAAGCCATTAAAATAGCAATGCTTGCAATAATTACACTCATTTTTATTATAATAATTATTACAAGCTGTCTGCGTGGATAACGTGTGGAGTGAATAAAGCAATTAATATTTTTTTACTATTACTGAATAATTTAATAAATGTTATTTTATGATACTATTTTAACAATATAAAATATGCATAGATCAAAATAAAAAATAATATAATAATAATAATAATTTAGTAAATATATATTGACATTTGTTGTTGGTAGTGTCAGTGCAATACAGAAAATGCAATTGCGAGGTATAATAAACAATAATGTTAAAATAACAGTAAAGCGAGCTCTTATGTGGCCTTACACGTATCGTCAGGAGTAACATGATAACTTAATCTTTTAGAGTGGCACGCTGTCTAATAGTTTTCTGTATCTTTACTAAATAAAGTGAGATACAGTAATGGAAAGGTTTCATGCATTCACAGGACATCACTGTCCCCTCAACACTTACTGGAGTTGTGCAGGCTAAACGTGCACTGCGTGTGTTCACTCACCTTGCCATTTTTGGAGGTTCCGTTGACAAAAAGCGTCACCCTTCGCATGCTTTGTTCACACTAATTAAACGTATTAACTGTACAAATATTAATAAATTAATATCTCGCTAAATTATCTATGTATTAAACTAATACCTACGTAAAGGGAGTAGGAAGAACCAACCTAGCTACATTGTAGCAAGATGACGAAGCGGCTGTCCAATCAAAACCCGGATACTGTTGCAGACCTCGAGGATTGGCCAATCACAGGACGCGTTTCATAGACTGGGCCCGCGGCATAGACCAATCGGACACAATTGTGGTGTTGGACTCTTTAATGAAAAACTTGCCTGGTGAGAATGGAATTTTGAGGCAAGGGAAATGATTACCTCAGTGACTGTGGGCTGCTGTAGTCAAACTACTCCTTCATTATGAAGCCTTATATAGGACTGCGGGTTCAACTGTGGAAGTCTCAGCCAGCGACAGACTGTAGTGCAAACAAACTGTCAAGCCGAAGTAGTGTTACAAAACGAATCCCACATCTCTAATTCCGTCATTTATATATCATATAAAGTCTGTAAAAATAAATAAATAAAAAATTCAAATTCAAAAGATAATTTTACTTTTTTGCAAATGGATTAAATGGAAGAGTATTCGATGGTTTCAAATGACATATGTATATTGAGCCTTTTTTCTACACTAGGGGGCAGAGTAAACATATTTTTGGCTAAATCAAAAAATAAATAATAAAAAAATAAAATACATAAAAAAATAGCAATTTCCTATATGTTTCACATGACTCTAACATTCCAAAACATTCTCAATAACTGTCTTGTAAACTCATTTTTCACATTTAGTATTAATATAATTAGTATGATGTATTATTAGTATTAATTATTAATGTCTCTAGTTTACATAAAGTGATAATAATTATTATTATTATACACAAAAAATAGTATTATAAAGAATATGCATCCAATTGTATAATTTTTGACCCACATGCATTCTAAGCCAGAAACTATGTCTAAGAACTAATAATGTAAACCTTATGATGTCCTTCCTACCTGTTTATGAACATCTAATGCAAGAAAATTATATCTGCATTTTCACACTATTTGTTTACACCATCTAATATTTCAGATCTTAAAAGCAATAAAATCACCTCCCTATTATCTTTTTAATACCAAGAGTATTGAAAAAATCCCCATAAGATAAAACTAATATCACTACTTGACCAACAGATGTGTTTGTCCTCCTATCTGAAGCATTAAGAAAAACTAAAACAGGACACACGTAGAAGCATTGATAAATGTCGTTAAACAATAAGGCAGCGAGTGATAATATCCTGCTTATAGCTGACTGATTCTTACATGGTGGCCCCAGTTTTATCTTCTGTAAAAGGCCTGTCCCTTCCAGAATGTCCCACTATGTCTGTAACTGCCCACATGCTCTGCAAACACAAAAGGCTGATAATCACTTCTCTTGCAAGCTACTGTTGACAAAATGTCCTTCAGGTACAGGGAGGTTTCAAGTTCTCCCTAGAATTCCCGTTCAGGTTGTTTGGGTTGCGTATTGCCTTCTTGAAAATACATTAGATAAGGAGCCATATGCACACACATAGAGAGTGATTTCTTTACACTGGTTTACAGAGATAATGTTATGACCTATTTTATATTCAAAACCACTGTCAAGCAAGGTTTGTGCTCCTTAACTGACCTTGCAAGACTTATTAGTTATGCTATCAGTAGGGATGTTACCTAGACTACATTTAGTCTAATATTGTTTGACTGATTAAACATTTAATCAGTTAAAGCACAGTTCTGTTTTGAGGTCTAAATTCATGAAAAACTAGGGAAAACACACTGATCTATTCTCAAGCTTTCTCTCTATTTCTTCTCTAAGCATTCCCTAGTGGAAAAAAAATACTACAATGTATTTGAAATATATTTATTTTGTGCTAAGTATACTACAAATACATTTACATATTTTTGTGCTTAATAAAAATACCCTGCAATTGTACTTTTGGTGTACTAAACTGTTATACTTAAAGTCTGCTAAATTGGAACAAGTAATTTTGTGCCTAATGCACTTTAATAGTGCTGAGGGCCAACTAAAGATATACTTAAGTAAATCTGATTGTGAAAAAGTAGAACTGTTGCAAGTATACTTCAGGTACACTTTAAATGTCTTTCATTTAAAGACGGATATAATACAGAGATCATACAATCCTTATTAATAATGATATTAAAACACATTTTAGGCATAATATTAAGAGCTGTGCATTGTGCAATAAAGAAATGCTCCAAATAAAGTTTATTTATAATTTTATATCAGTAAGTCTTAAGTGATATGTCAATAAATTTGTTAATGGATTTGAAGTATGAAATAAATTTATTTTAAATAAATTGTGGCATAGTTTAGTTTTATTAATACATTTATTTATTTATTTATTATACATACTAGGGTTAAGATCTAACCATACCTAAGCAAGCCACATTATCTTCTGAACTGGACTGATGGAGAGTAGCAGCAATACAATTTCAAACTGAAAAGGATTTGGAATTTTTTTTAAAATTATTTCCAGTTTGTCTTCTCTTATTTGAGGTTTGTCTTGTTTTATCTACAAATAATTAAGGTTCTTTTTCACTAAAAGTATTCTCAGACTAAAGTGGATATAAAGGCAGACGTCCTCTTCAACATACTTTGTGCTGTTTATTCATTATGTACAAGGACATTATTCCAGTTTGATTTTCTGTCAAAGGGGATAAATAACTTAAAATTCAAATAACAAATAAAAATAATGTCAGTATTGAGTCATTCTAAGCATATGCTGTTATTGTTGACTATTCTTTGCTTCCTGCAGTTCTTAACCATTATTTCTAGCATTAGTTCATAGAGGCCTCTTCAAAAAACAAACAAACAAGCAAATTAATATATATATAAGAACTGAACTGCGGAAAGCAAAGAATAGTCAACAATAACAGCATATGCTTAGAATGACTCAATACTGACATCATTTTTATTTGTTATTTGAATATATATATATTAAATTTGGCTGTGAAATTACCCCCAAAAGATAATTTAAAGCCATTACTGTGTTAAATGAGAAAACGATTGAGTAGACACTACAAAACAAAGCTTTAGAAATAAATATTTTATTTGATTCAGCGTAAAATTTATTACACATAAAAATGTAGGCTACAATGGCCTAACATAAACTATGGAACATAACAGAAGATAATTTGAGAAACATCTCAGTATTTTTTGTTCATACAATTAAAGTCATTGGTAACCAACACAGTTTGGTTACCAACATTCTTCAAAATATCTTATATGTTCCGCAAAAGAAAGTAAATCATATAGGTTTGAAACGACATGAGGATGAGTAAATGATGTTTCAATCTGTCAAACGGCTGATTCATTCAGGAATTAAGAAAATGGCTCTCTTAATGAATGGCCCATTGAATCATTGGTTCACCAGATTTGTTCAAAACCTGGATTCATATAGAAACAAATCACCGCTGTTGATTGGAGACACAAAACAGTCTTGCTGTGGCTTTATAGGAAATATTTACCTTGGCAAAACTGAGCAAACAGACAATATTGTGTCTAAAATATAACAGAATATTAACTTCTTATTTACTGAACTGATGTATAAAATCACATTTGCACTTTGGAAAAAAAACAGCACGAGTGTGAAATTGCTCTCACTGCTCGTGTGATATCCCTTATCATATGATATAAATATGAGACAAAAACACATACAGGGGCATTTTTGCCCCAATCTCTTAAATTTTAGGGGCACATAACTGCATTCGGTCCCACTTTATATTAAGTGGCCCTAATACCTGTGTACTTACATAGTAACTAAATGTGTACGTAGTATGTAACCACAGTGTAAGTACGCATTGGTACATAGTATCTAGAGCTGTAATATTTCTGTAACGACACACATGTAACAACCCTCATAATGGTTTTGTGTAAGTAAAAATGTGTAAGAGGACATACAGTGGGTACGGAAAGTATTCAGACCCCCTTAAATTTTTCACTCTTTTTTATATTGCAGCCATTTGCTAAAATCATTTTAATTAATTTTTTTTCCTCATTAATGTACACACAGCACCCCATATTGACAGAAAAACACAGAATTGTTGACATTTTTGCAGATTTATTAAAAAAGAAAAACTGAAATATCACATCGTCCT